TAAAGCAGGCCTGGATGCCAAACTTTGTCAAATGCCTGACTTACGTCGAGGAAGGCAGCAGTGCAGTATTGTTTGTTTTCCATAGCTTGGTTGATTATATTAGCTATTTGGTGGCATTGTTGTACTGTGGAGTGTGCCTGTCGAAAGCCAAATTGGTGATTAGGGATCCAGTCATTTGGATTGGCGTCGTGATTAATTCTATTGAGGATAAACTTTTCAAGAAGTTTCAATATTATGGGTAACAAGCTAATTGGACAGTAGCTTGTTACGTCAGTGTGATTTTTCCTAGGCTTTGGAATCATTATTATTTGTGCGATCTTTAATGGTTTGGGCCAGTAGCCATTCCTTAAGATGGAGTTGAATATGTACACGAGTTTGCGTATTCCCTTTTTTGGGAGTTCCTTTAGTAGTGTGGCTGTGATGAGATCAACTCCTGGCATCTTTTTTGTATTTAGCAGCTTACTTATTGACTTACCCTCGTACTACTGGCCAGACTTTTGGCCTTAAACAGCAAACTGTGCCGTGGATTACCTGCTCGCTTGAAGAGCCTCAGCAACAGATGCACCTATAAAACTACTACTACTACTACTACTACTACTACTACTACTACTACTACTACTACTACTACTGCTGCTGCTGCTGCCACTGCCACCACCTTACAAAGGTGAAGGCCATCCTAAGCCAGGTATTGACAAACTATATTGTATGATTTCTCTTCTTCCCTTACCCATTTTGTCGGTGACAATGTTTTGCAGCCAGAGAGACTGTTTTCACTTCATTACAGATTTCACACTTTTATACAGGAGGCAATTTATGACCCATACAGGTAAAATAACAACAGTGTTTATTAATTTATTTATTTATTCTAACCAGTGATTTCCTGGCCAATATTAGTACCTTACTGTTTTATTACACTGTCATCTATGCTGACTTAAAAAAATCTAATGAAGAAATATTTCTAAAAAAAATGAAGTATCATTTGCAACAAAGAAAACAATTACACAATAAATAATGTCTTGGCATGCAATGTACTCCTTAACCATACAAACCGCAGTCTAGTAAAACTGTAGATTCAACTTCAGTAAACCTGGATTTTTACATTAAGTACATTACCCAAAAATACTCTGTAGTCACAGCACAAATAAGTTCTTGCTCTAGAACTTGTGCAAGAACATGCATTGCCATTCACCATGGCAACGTCACCCACATATTCTTCTCCATGTACTGCAGGTCAGTAATACAGGATAATTCACAAGTTCCTCAAGGATCTCCAAACTCAGCAGTACAATAGTCAGGATGGTCATCATGGGTGGTGAGGGGCCATATCAACAGAAGGATAGACACTCCAAGTACGTCTTGCCTTACAGGTGCTTGATATATTCACGCTTGGTGACGCGGCAGACGTCAATCTCGTAATCACTCTCCTGCCCCCCCCCTCCCCCCATGCACGCACACACACATTGCAACATCTCTCCACGATTCCTGATGTAACCCCAAAAGAAAAAAATCACTTCTGAGGGCTCCTGACAAAAGTTTCTTGCACACATTTGATAGTCTCTGGCCCGGTTGGCCTCTTCATTTTGCAGCACACAGGCAGCCACACTGCTGGAATGTCTTGTACCACCCATGAATTGTTTTGTCCGTAGGTGGTTCTGTGTGATACTTGGTCCAAAACCTCTGTTGCACCATCACAATTGATTCAGTTTTGGCAAATTCCAAGATGCAGAATGCTTCCTTATCCCATGGTGCATATTACCCAAACATACTTGGAGAGATTCTCTACCTTCCGATATCCTTTCTGCTGTGCCTCTTTTGGTTGTTGCGCTGCCAAGTTTGGAAGTTCTGGAGGGACTTATGAATCATCCTGTATCACTGACAGTGTGAATGAAGATATCACTGGGAATAACTCTTCAAAATTCACTCCCTCTTTGTATGCCAGTCATACTCTCTTCATTTTCTTCTGACATTCATGAATGAAAAAGTCTTCACATTGTCTTCAGTTTATTTAAATTCATATCCTGGACAGCTGTTGTAGTAAGTTTGATGGGAGCACTGCTTCCAGCTTGTCCAGTAGATAGTGGAATGGAAGAGAAACCCAACTCAGCATCTGTAAGCAGCAATAAACTATATGACAACAAACGTTTTGGGTACAATTATCATCACAGTTTTTAAAAACCAAGATAACATTGTTTTACACAATGTATAACACAAAATCCATCTTAAGTGCGACAATTTATTGTAGTTCTTTGTCTTCTTTCTTCTACACTACATGTTTCGGCCATAACTGGCCATCATCAGGTGTACTTAAAACGGAGTTTGTGTTATACATTGTGTAGAGTGTAACAGGATGCTTAAATATAATATTGTTTTACACTTTCTAATGGTAAATTCATAGATCCATTCTTGACTGTAATCTCAATACAACAAATTCTCAGTATTCAATTAAAATTGATGTAAGTTATATGAAACATATAATAAGTAACAGCTATGAATGCCAAACCATTTGAAATCGGAGTTAACATTTTCTGTGCAAACACCTGCTTCAGTATATAACAACAAAAGGGGTGAAGGATTGTCCTTTATAGCCAAAGACAGTACGACTCAGTTCTTTCATTAAGCCTTAGAGTTAGGAAAATCTAATATCTTTGTTGGTGGGTGACCAAATGTAAATGGCAATACAGAATTTCAAGACTTTCCGTGTGCAAGAAAGTGGGCAATGAAACTGTGGACTCACCTACAATCTCCATGCATTTTCTGGGACTACACAGATGTCAACAAGGCACTGCCCATATATGAGCAACTGGTGGAGGAAGACAAAAGAAATATGCATACACCCAGAGGACTTGAGTTCATAAGCAGAGAAGGAAATAGTAAGTTTCCCACCTCAATCAGCATACGAAGTACCAAATAACATCTGGTGATGTGGAAAAATTTACTAGTCAGGCAAAAATGAGTGGCTTAGCTGAAGCAACCATCAATGCACGCTTTTCGAAAAATGCTGTACACGTAAGACAGGAATGCAATGTTTGTTCTGTTGTAAATTCTGTCTTTAATAACTCAGGCCCTTAGTATAACATATATATTGAATACTGAATCCAAGAAAAACTAATACTGTCCCCCCAATTTTTTTGAGGACATACTGTGTTCATAGTGTGCACTCTGTTGCATGTCTCATACTTAAATAGATTGTGATTCACAATCAATATTTTACAACTGCAGGAAATAAATATTCAATTGTAAAATACTGAGTGTGACTCACCTTGTGGTGACGCCTAACCTAACTATATGCAAGTACATATGGTCTTGCAATCTGTCTGTGACTGTGTGATGAACATGACATGAGACCTGTCCTAATGGCGCTTTTACAACCATCCCTTAGATAAGTGATATAAGAAAGCTGCACACATTCAGAACCCATAACGTAGCTTATTGATGTGATTTTAATTGCTTCATGTGTTATATCTGTCATTGAAGTTTGATACAAGTCACAGTGTTTATTTTCACATGTCTGCATGTGCAGGGACTTCTGGACACACAATGAATTGTAAGAAGAATGTGAACTGGAGATGAAGGCCTGCAACAAATAGTGGGCAGAGCTTCTGCTCAAAGAATTGTTCATTTTAGCTCTTGGCTGTGAGTATGAAGTATAATTATGTAAGAAGAATGTCGTCTTCTGGGATGTGACGCCATGTAGAACTTGTGTAAACCTACATTCCTCCGAAATGTCAGTTTACACAAGATCTACATGGTGCCACATCCCAGAAGACAGCGTTCTTCATGGTTACGACCGTGAGAACCTCAAATCTTACATAGATTATGTAAATTTAAGAAACTCTTTAACTTTCAGTTAACAAATATATGACACCCTACATGTCAATCGTAATATATTGTAACAAGTTTGCTACTGAAGATGCCGTTCAGATTGTTAATTGGTTTATTTAACAACCTACAAGTCGTACTTACAATTAATTATGACACTGTTACGGGTTTACACAATTTACAAGCCCTACACACTAATGAATTCATTCTGTCCTCAGTAGTCTTCACGTACTTATAACACGGGAGCTATACCAGTGTCACTGTATTACAAGCTCCCAGTAACTTCTCACACTATCGGTATTCTTCACGTTCACGATTCGCTTGCTACAACTGAACTCAGCGACTGTTCCAATTCAACTGTCTTCAGTGGCTGCTACATTTTAACTAACTTCTTAGGCAGTGTAGTTCTCTTATAAACCCTCCGCCGGACAGCGGGATAATGCCTCGCTTCCCTGTTGCTTAGCGACACTGTCGAGAGTTGTTTACTGCTGTGTAACAGCTAGCATGCTTCGGCTCACTTCGGCTCTACTCGGCACAGCATGAAGAAACACCGCTGAGGTGGGGAAGTTTACTGAGCACTGCGTACTGGTGGAAGGAGTGGGCATATGTGACGTAACTCGAGGAAATGCAGAGTTCATGTGACCCCCACTTCCCATTGCGCCATCCACGTCACAATATATAAAACAGAGTACAACTCATTTTCCAGTAAGGTCAAAAACCAATATGACCCAGATTCTGAGAAAAGATCCCAGCACGCAGTTACCCCACATCACAACTATCACTACCACAGTAGAACAACCAAACAACACATACACAGATATGTAGCAATCACAAAGTCTTAAATAAGACTTAAGTTATAAATACCTTAATCACTATTTTAATTCTAATTTTAATTTTAACTTTTATCCTTTTAATGTCAAGTTTTAAACTACGTACATATGAACCACATCTAATTAAAGTATTTGTTTTAAAGATTCATACAAACACAATATGAATTCATATTGATCAATGACACAATTCATGAACTAGTAGTATAACTGTATAACTGAAGATGACCCAAGAAAAGGGTCAAAACATTGTGTTACCACCAATAGCTAATAAAAACAAATGCTGACACAGTAGTGTCTATGTTATATCTTTCAGAATTTCCATTGTGTAGAATCTTCCAGTTTAGGCGGTTCTAACAATGATCAGGATGTTGGATTGCTTGTAGTCAGTTTCATATCTCTATGAGAACTGCTCCACAGCAGATGGAATACTACCCTACCTGCACTTTTTTAACCTTCATGCCATACTGTATTACACGTAATTGAAAGTTAGGGAATGGATGTGTAGTTATGTATTTCAACAAATTTTGGGGAATTATGATTATCAATTAGAATGAGTATTTTTACATATATTATAAATTGTTGTAATATTGATGTTGCAATGTCAAGCCTCTATCCATGAAGAGTTCATCTTCCTTTATAGCCACTAGTTTTTAACAACTCTTTGCTAGTTTCATTAACGAGTGAACTGTACATATTCATGTTCTTATCGCTCCTGAAATGGAGGATTAACATTCCCTGGACATTTAAATCTGTTACTATGGCATTCAATTTTATAACTGTTGCTCAATTTTTTTAAATTCAGTATAATAACCATGTGTCATTATAAAATTATAAAACGAATAGTCTCTGGAAAACCAATTATCAGAGTTCATATATCTATACTTTCATTTATATAGCCGTTACAGTAAAGTTTATATATATATATATATTTTTAGGAAAATTTTGTACTTTTGGCTTTGACTCATGCACATTCAGTATCTGCAGTCCTGACCAGCATCTGGTGTTTAGAAAAGAAATACAATCATAAAAACTGACTGACAGACAGACAGACAGACAGACTGACTACCCCCAGCCTAAACACACCATCACATGTTTGATTATAGTGACTCTTCACTATGACGTACTACAGCTCTGACTGCCTCACTGATAACAATTTTTTCTTATTGTCATGTGGGCTGAATTTGTACTTCCTTTGCAAGTTCAAGCCTACTGTGGATAAATGAACTGTGCAACAAAAGCTATTTGTTCTGCCAAACATTGACTGCAAAAGCGTTATCTTCTACAGAGTATGAAATAACTAAAACAGTTATACCACTCAAAACACTGTTGCAATTCCAGTGGCACATACTGTGAAGGTCTTTATAATTATGATATAGTTTTCAATACCAGCTCACAGTACACTTTCTAACCACTAAAATCTTACAGTCAGACGCTTCTTAGTCATTTGTCGAACTTCAATCCCCTTTCACACCTCTAGAAGTCAGTCACCATACGCTAACGTTACAAACATGGTGCAGCACACAGGGCCACCCTACAGTGTTTGCAGCTCTATCTTGTTTCATGACACTGACCCTTTTCGTTGTCAGCAACACGAAGAAATGTGAGTAGAAGGTGAAACCTCTCACTGAACATGTCCAGAAATACAGGTGTTTCCAGAATTTTCTTCTGAGAAAAATAGCTCTTGTTATCCAGTTTCTGGTGAAGTCCTTGTAACAGAAGGAATGCCGGCAACTTCAACATTTCGTTTCTGTTTGTTTCCTTCCAGTGATGGGTCCTAGACTTAGTTTTAGATTAGGCGTGTTTCCTAACAATTTTTGGACATGCTGATTTCTTTCTCTGGCTATTACGTCCACAATTTCTGGTGTACAAAATAACTAAAACACTCAAGAGGTTACCGGGGTCTTCTAAATCAACACTCATGCAAGACTTGCCAGTAAATATAAAATGCGGTCACTCAACACCTGACTCTGCCCATATGCCATGCTGCATGCTACTGCTGTCACTAACATTTTCTTCTTCATCAGAGCTGACACTCTGCTTGCCACATGGCATGTATTTCACTGTCACTACTATATATGCTCTCATAAATATCACTGTATTCATTCTCTTGCAATGTTTCATATAACACCTCCCCACTCACATGAATCTTCTTGCTAGGACCTGCCATAATGTTTACTTGCAAAGACTCGAACCCAGGACAGCTATCAAGAAGTCATCACCTTCCTGTCACACGCTGAAGTAACAAGAAGAGCAAGCATGCATGACGTACAAATCTGCATTGCCGACTGTCATTATATCTACTCGTACAACAGTGTAGTTGGAAACATGAATGACATGTAGAGGTGTCATACTCACTATGATACAGAGCATCATGACGTGTTAAAACGACATACCCACTTAACTGGTTAAATAAATATGTATGTGTATATTATATTATATACTAGCTGTACCCGGCCACGCGTTGCTGTGGCTCAGTCTAACGAAATATTTCAATTCAAACACAGATAAATCGACACAGCTCAATCCCACCACCAATTGCACTGAAAAATAAGGAAAGCAGTTAAGAAAATGAAATGAAAAATAAACTATACTCACAAAATGAACGCTATGGTAAATGACAGAGCCCAATTCCAACGCAATGTCACACGAAATAATTAAATTAAAATTAAAATAAATCAGAACTGTTTACATTCGGCGGTAGCTATCCCAAGAGTGACTCCTTCCGCGGTTACTTCCAGACTCTCTTCTGTATCCCTTGGCATCTGCCCCGAGACTGACTGCTTGTCCAAGCTGGACTATTTATACCTCGGCGGATGTTATACAATGAGCCTTCTGTTGTCTATCACCGGGGAAACGCTTGGTTTCATCACTTGTTACGCAATGGAACCTCTTATCCTCTCATCTCCGGGGAAACGTGTTTGTTGTTTCAGCAATCCCTATGCAACGGCCCACTGTTACTGCATTTCCATGGAAGTATACTTTCCGGTTTCACCCGCTGTTACGCAACGGAACCTCTTATCCTTTAATCTCCGGGGAAACGTGTTTGTTGTTTCGGCAATTCCTATGCAACTGTTATTGCGTTTCCATGGAAGTATACTTTCCGGATTCACACGTGGCCGGGTACAGCTAGTAGGTATATAAAAACACGCGCATTCGAATGCAAAGTTGTGTCAAAATTATATATATATATATACTTGTATAGTGTGTGCATACATGCCTGCACACAGAGAAAGAGAGGAAATGGAGAATGACAGGACACTGTAAATATAAAATTTTTATGCTCACTCACCTGTTTTACGGACACTTCAATGAGCAGACTGAGATTAATACACCTTGCCCTTAATATCCAGTGGGAGGATGATAAAAGGAAAATCAAATTAGGAAATCCCCACAAATATTTTGAAAGCAAATGTAAATTTTATGTAAAAATTGTAAGTTAAACTGAAAACAATCTGCAACCTGCATCAAAAACAATCAGGCAATTTTCTTCTTCTGAGTGATTCCTCACACATTTTACAGTTTTTATTATCATGATTTATGTCACTAAGCTTCATGATAAAGATTAATTAATGAAATTTGCACAACGATAAGGAGATTTATTCTGCTAAATACTTACTGCCTTTGCTATTACACCCATGGGCTCAGGGTACTGGTGGGTTAATAGAGCCAGTAAGGCGGTGAAGGAACAAAGACCTGCTGTAAAGAGGATGAAGAACGGCAACTCCTTCTTTGGATACACACTCACTTCATGGAAAACTGTTGCAGAAAAAAGAAATCATATTGAGAGAGAAGAAAAACAAATGGAAGCACAATTATATTAAGGAAGCCACTGTTAGTTTATCTCCTCATATCAAAAGAATCTGAAATGATATGAAACTATTATTTTTCTTATTTATACATATATAATGTTTATTTTCTGTATCATTTTGTTTATGACAACTGTGCAAGTTTCACAAAATACTTATTCTCAACTGTTTACAGCACAAGCTCATTAAGAAGTCTCAGTGTACTGTGAACTGAAAAAAGGGGGAGTGTATTCTGTTGCAATCTGTGGTGGTTATTAAAGAAGACTCTACAAATCCATAAGCAGAGGATTTAAAATATCCAACTATTTTAGAGAATTATGGTATTCCTCTGTGACACAGTACTCTTGAAATAAGCTTCAGGTGTAAGTGGAAAACTATAAATAAAAGTTAACTTTCAATATTCTGGAGAAGCAATGTAAAGAACATCATGATGAGAATATTTTCCATACATGGAGATAATTTGCATTAGAAGGTACCAGCATATGGGGAAATGGAAAACATCATATGAAGAGACCATACTGAAGAGTATATGAGAATATGACATTCAAATCAATCCCAGAGAAACAAGCTGCAAAGATGTTAATTGAATTAAATTGGTTTGTTTCATTCTGGTCCGTCACACTAACAATTACAAATACAAATCACTCCATTCAATGTGACATGTAAGTTTTACTACGTGAAAACCTATCAACCCTTACATGTTTCGGTCCTTGTGGACCATCTTCGGAGGGAACATCATTACAAGCTGGAAACTACTATCACAATAGTCACAATGTCACATTGGATGGAGTGATTTGTATTTGAATTAAATTGGTTTAGGATAGTATCCAGTGGCACTCCTTTTGTGATGGCAGTGATGAATGTTCAGGTTACAACAGGTATTTGTTCATCAGTTGGCTAGCCACATATTACTAAAGAACACACACAATGTGGTATGGACTAAATGATATTTAATAACAATGTATCAACTGCATATGCCATTTTGTGCTGATTAATATGAGATGATGATCATGTGTGGTAAACTTGGAAGGCCTGGGAAGAAAGAAAATGTTTTGATACCATCCCAGCAGATTTCAAACTAGGCACCTGCTGGACACAAGTCAGAAGCATTACTGCTTGACGGTTAGATACAAGAATGTGGATATACATACAAATGTAGCACAGTGGAGTGAGGGAGCAGATTGGGTTTCATAAGTGCCTAAAACACAGTGTGATTGATGTAGTCAATCTGTTTAAACTGACAATACAAAACAATGTAGATCAATGAACACTACTGTCTTCTGGGATATTCAGCAATTTAGACTGGTATACTGGTACCAACATATTCGAGGAACAAGCTTCCTCCCGCTTCATGGCATTCTCTTTCTACCCTGAAAATGGAGGCAGCATGTTCCTCTGAAACAATTGTAATTATCTACCAGACTACAGCATCACATGCTTCCCACAACATGAGCCTGGGAGTGTAAGGGGTCAAGGAAAATGACATGACAGTACATGAGTAAATCCTCACCTGGTAGCAACTCTCTGTCGGCACATTCTGTACATGTGGGATATGGATAAAACAAGTGTCCTCTTTCAAGAGGGTATGGCAACATACGGAAAGTACCTTCCCATGTACAGTGCAGTAGGTTTAGTGCCCCTTCCACCTGCTTCCAATGCGGCAAATGGAAGAATGCATATGCTATTGCTTCTGAATCACCTCTTTTCAGAACATGCTCTGGTGGCAGGATGAGGGGTTTCATCTCCAGCAAATACTACACACAATAAGAAAACCCCATAAAGTAAATGTCAACGTGATAAAACTTCGGTTTATAAAATACAGTACAATTATCTCACGGCTTGTTTCAAACTGCTCAGTAGCTCAGATTGAAGAATCTGGTGCTCCTCCCATCTGGTCAGGTTATGCAGGGTCAGAATGCTAATGGAATCAACAAACCTACAGTCCACCACATTACAGGTAAATCTTACCCAGATTACAGCAGGTGCTGAAAATATTTTCTGTTGTCAGGAGAGTGTTCAAGCCTAGCACTGATATCATTATTAATAGGGGAGGGGACTGACTCAAAATGCTAAATAAAGAGAAATACAATAAAACTGGTGCCAGGCTAGAAAATTCCCCTTGAAAACCTCTCAAATGCCACACACAGGCACCCAAGTTTCAAGCTTACTCTAGTCCCAAAAAGTAACTTTAGCTCATGAATGAGAACTTTTTACAGAGGTGCCAGGAACACATGCATAAAAATAGAGTATTCCTGACACATGCTATAATTTTGATGAGTTTTATTTGTAATATGTCAGACTGTAAGTTTATCTGGGGGCACACGGTAGCATAACTGGTTGAGGCACTATGCTACAAGCCAGAAGGTCATGGGTTCGATTTCTGACGAGGTCACTGAACTTTTTCAATTCACTTAATCCTTCTTCAGCTGCAATGTAGCCCTGATGTCAACTCAGCCTCTAACAAAAATGAGTACCAATAAGATTTCTGAGGGTTAAAGGACAGCCGGAAAGTAAGTCTGACATCCTTGCGGCCATCTGTGAGCCGACTGTCTAGAAGATGTGGGAGTCTCGACCTCTCACATCCCTATGGGCCTTCATGGCCTGTTACAGGGACAGCTTTACCTTTTACCTTACCTTTTATAAATTTATTTTTCTTGCCGGAAGACCAAATCTTACACAGAAGGAGCAGCTGACACTTTGGCCTCAGTGTTTCATGATTTTCCGTAAACTCTAAAATGATCACACTGGACTTACCCACATCCCTATATAAACAACTGGTCATCTGTTTCAATATTATGGACTTAATTTTTCACAAAATATTCAATTTGACTTCCCAAAAGAAATCCACTTCTAATCACAAATTCAAAAATGGGAATTTGCTTCAACCTCAGCTCCTTCTAACATAGTACAACAGAGTAAAATTAATAGAGCCCTGACCCTTCTAATACAATAAGAAAAACACAATAACCACCCAATTTCAGATTTTAATACCTGAAAAAAAAACATGTTTTAAAGGGAAACTAGTTAACCCTTTGACGTGGTCATTTAAATTCCGCGGCCGCGGCNGTTAAAGCAGTCAATTCTGAATAGGGAGAGTTACAGAATATACAAATTCATACATAGATGAAATGAATTTAAGTATCAAAGTTCCAATCCACAAAAAAGTAGAACATGCTTACTTTTGGCACATGTGGATTAAATTCAACTGCTCTATGTATTGCTTCTACTGCAGTCATTTCTGCTGTTGTAAGCCCTCTCTTGCTTGCAATATCTGGAGAAAACCTGGGACAAACAAAAGAAAAAAAAAAGATCACTTCACAACATGGAATGAGGACCTGTTCAAAATCTTGCAGCGCTGAAAGAATGAATTATCTTAAAATAAACTAATGTATTTCAGGCAAGGTCTGGTCATTAATTTCTAGGGCCAAATGTACTTCATGAAAAATAATAACATCTGCATTACTGTTTCTACTTTATAACTTTTTTTCAGGCACGCTTTACATGATGCTTACGACATCCAGGAACATCTCTACCTCTTTAATGGTATAATAAACAGCTTTCAGTATAGCGACTAGGCTATGAGATGGAAAACTAACTGAGGATTCAGGATTTTACCCCTGGTAGGAGCCAAGAGACTTCACTCATCTGAACTGAGTCTAGACCACAACTGGGTCCCACCCACACTCCAACTCAATCTATACCGGGGGCTCTTTCTCTAAGAGGTAAACAAGCAGGAGAATGAAGCTGATCATTCACCTTCACTTAATGCTGAGGTCAGAATGTGTGGAGCTATACCTCCACTCCTCCATATATTCTGTGGCTTGGTGCTTAATTAAGCATATGGATAATTTTAACTCTATAGTCTGAAGAATATAAAGTCATCCAGTACCAAATACAGTGAATAGCTTTCTTTAAGAATAGACAGAGTGTTGTACTTGGCCCCAAGAGCTTACACAGCAGGCGCTGCAACAGGCACATGCGTAACTCCTAAAGGAACCACACCTCTTAAGTGTTTCAATATAGCCTCATTCCCAAACCAACTTTACCACTCCACATCTTCCATTCTTAGCAGAAGGTGCTGTTGTCTTTCAATAAGATCATATTGTGACATGACAGCTGAAAGCTGGAATAGTGGAGCCTGACGAGACATCCACTGCTGAGCAACATTTCAGTAAATATATCCTCAAGGTTAACACAGTCAACAGAAGAACCTCCGTTGCTTAGCAGCAGGCTGCTACATTTTGTAGCAATGGACAAAACAAATAACAACAGAATGAGTGAACCACTGGAAGTTAGTTCAATCTAGGAGATTTAATTCATGAGAGATTATTCAGAGATCCTTCATACAAGTTCTTCAGACAGACACCATTTAGAAGTTCATTGTGTAAAGTTAAAGTTGTCCCTGTGCTCAACTAATTAAGCACTATGCCATGAAGGCGTATAGGGTAGCAGATGTATAGATCCATGTGTCCTTGACCGCAGCACTAAGTGTGTTATGGGAAGATTTAAAATCAAGAAGCCACAAAATGTTAAAGAACAGTATCTAATTAAAATCTCCATTAGGTCTGCAGCTTTGGAAAAGTTTGATGACATGGACTTGGAAAATATAATATCAAAACAACAGTCTACATTACTACCAGTTAAAGCAACAAAAGCTACATCTTGGTTAACTAATTCACCCACTCATTGAGCTGAGCCCCTCTTGAGAAGCCACTAATTGTGCAGCTACTCAAGAATTTCCCAGCATTTTATGAAACCTGAAGGTTCATTACCGTGTTCACAAGAGCCCTCCACTGGTCCCTATCCTGAGCCACATCAATCCAATCCATACCATCCCATCCTATCTCTCTAAGATCAATTTTAATATTGTTCACCCACCTATGCCTTGGTCTTCTCAGTCGTCTCTTTCCATCTGGCTTTCCCACCAATATCCTATATGCATTCCTCTTCTTGCCCATTCGTGCTACATGCCCTGACCATCTCGTCCTCCTTTGCTTGATCATTGTAATTATACTTGGAAAAGAGTATAAGTTATGAAGCTCCTCATTATGCAATTTTCTCCAACCTCTTGTCACTTCATCTCTCTTCGGTCCAAACATTCTCCTCAACACCCTGTTCTTAAACACCCTCAGTGTATGTTCCTCCCTTAATGTCACAGACCAAGTTTCACACCATACGGAACCCATTCCCCTTTCCATAGAAAAATGTATATTCGCCTGCTGGTTCGTTGCCACCTCCATCCCATCTGACCTCCTGTACTCTCACTAAATCTAACTTATATTTTGAGCGAACCTGCCCTGTACATACTTCTAACATTCCAAGTATTGAATCTCATATCCATTTTCTTTAGCCTAGTTTGTTTATCCAGAGGATCTGTCCAGGTCAGAGGCTTTTTGAACATAACAAGCTTATTTTTTACAGTGAGGAGTTGTTAGCCCCATGCCCAGCCCCCAAGCTGCAGGACCACCCCTTGTTGACTGTCCACGACTGCTTATTCAATATATTTGCAGCTTCCCTCCGTACCTGGAGGGTGTCTCCTCCATCCGCAACCTGAGGAGGTGCATGCCATGGTGACTAGGAACCCACCTAACATGGACAGCTCGATTAACAGTGCTCAAAATGATGCTGGATCATCGCAGTGGCTGCACAATCCAAACAGATACAGGGTGCTTTTTTTAATAAACCTGATGCATTCAACAGCTCTCTGCTTTGCCACAAATGGTGCACCGCTGGCCGATAAGCACATGTGAATTTTGCCGATGACTCAACATACCAATAATATTTGGAATGAAGGGAAGTTGTTACCTTTATTCACAGATCACAGGAGGTGTTGAAAATGCTTTCCCTCTACATATACACGTTCCTCACACCAGCAGAAGAGGTTCTGATTTACCTTCTGAAGATGCTCTGCAGGAATATTTGAAATTTCCCTACAGATATTTTCTTCCAGTTCTTCTGTTCGAGGGTTACTCCTGTAAACTCTGTCCTTCAAACAACCCCAGCAGAAAAGTTGCAAGCATCACAAGCATTAAGATCAGGTGAATGTGCTGGCCAAACACTGCTGATAATTCTGTCCCCAAAGTCATCAGAAAAAGTCTACATAGACATATGTGCAGCGTGGGCAGTAGCTGAGTCTTGCCGAGACCAGCCATACTGCCTGAGAATGAGCTGTACATATCTTTCACAATTAATTGTTTCATTAAAAAACACAGGTCTGACAATCCCTCTTGCACTTAAAGCACACCAGACACCAACATTCACTGGCTGCAGCAGGGCTTCATGGGTTAGATGTGGATTCTGTGAACTCCAGTAGCAATTATTTTGCATATTTATTTATCCCTGCAAGTGAACCCATGCTTCATTAGAAAAGAATGTCAATTGTGTACTGATCTCACCTTCAACAATAGACTGCAGAAACCAACTGCAAAAATGAACGCTGCTAGCTGAATTGAGTAGCTGCAAGATGTAAATTACAGTTGTCTGACAGGGTCTAAGCTTCAGCAATTGTGTTGCCATTCGTGCACTAGACTCTGACACTCCAGTCTCTTGAGCTTGTCTTTCAGTGATTTTCTAGGTGTATGTTCAAGTCTGGCCCCTATGTCATCCAACTTCTCAGTAAGCACTCAACACTTATGTTTTGTTTTCTTGTCAGACATGCTGAATCATTGGCAAAATTTGTGTGTGCTTCACAGCTGGCAATGTACCACTCACGATGAAGCACAGAGCTGTGGACTCGTCAACGGCTTTAAAAATGTCCCTGTATCTTTGTAATCACAACAAAGAAGCTTCCAGACAAATGGCACAGGGAGGGGGGGAACACAGTGAATCATGACTAATAAATGTTTCAACTGTATGGGATTTTAAACACCCTTTCCAATTTTAATGTCACTCAAAATCTGAGCCAAAAAAAAATATGTATACCAGCATCCCAGAAACTTCATTCATGCACACAGCGTGAGGTAAAATGCAATAAATTCACTTACTTATCTGCTACAACCCGTGCTTTTAGAAGTGCTGCTGTGTAACATATTGTTGCTGATTTTGGTAAACTGATGTCATCATACTTTGCCAGGACAGCTTGAACATCAGCATATGCTTGCATCTCTAGTAACGCTTCTATTAGATTTTCATGAATGTTCAATACATTCATAATTGGCGGTACTTCTTTTGTTAACTGCAAAGAAGGAAAATTAACAAGTTTATCATGAATTAGCAGCATCAACAAATGAATTATATTTATTGAGGGCAGAAGGAAAATTTAATTTACTTATAATTCAATTAATGATGCTGACAGTAGTCCAGATTATAGAGCATTGCATGATAGGATAATTACTGCATAACAAAGGAGAAGGGATTTGAAAGGAAACAGTTGTGTTCTAATTTAAAGTATTATTCTAGAATCTGCCTGGAGAGGCTAAGAAACATATGAAACATCTCCATCAGGACAGTCAATGCCCCACCCAAGAATCAAACCAGTAATCTCTGAAATACCTGTCAGAAACATGCCTAGAGCAACCAGGAAAGAGAGGAGAAGTGAAAGGAAAAAATTAATTCAAAGATGAATACACTGTAAGATAAACAAATAAATAACAAAATAAAACAGTATGGGCATGTTTTAAGAATGGATGAAGACAGAATCAGAAAGAAGGTTTTAAAAATAAAAATAAGAGTAATAAACCAACAGGAAGACCAAGATCAAGATGAGAATGGGTTAAGGAAGACATCATGCAGAAGGGAGGAAGATCACTGGAGGATACTGAGAAGGAGGATCTTTGGAAAGACAGAGGCAGATGGCAAGAATTAATTGTTTGATGACCCACACACAAGTGAAAATGCTTTGGGGGGGGGGATGAAGCCAGAAAGGGAAAAGCTGAGCATGATCAAAAGACTGCATGGATGTTGGTACTGTTTCCAGTGTTTCATAGTTGCATGTTGCCTTCATCTTCAATACAGTGGGTGAGTTTGTGAGTATATATTCACTCTGTGAATATATTTCAAACATCAGTTGATTTCAGTGGATGGACAGTCTGTCTTATATAAATAACACTACACCTAAATGTACTTCACAGCATGTACGAGCATGTAAATACAACACAAGCTCATATCATGCACTCACTGATCATAAACACGGGTTCCAAGGTAAAGCCTGTGCCTCAGTTTACAGTTTCAGTGGGCATGGGCAAGAGATCCTCACATCCAGTAGATCACAATAAACATGTTTATGCATGATGTATTCCTAAATAACAAGATCAATTCCTCAACACTTCATAAATACACAATACTGTATGTATGCAATACTCAAACTACCTATTAAACTACAGTAAGCAGAGAAACTAATGTTCCTTGTGAGTAAAATGCATAAAGTGTGCAAGATAATCAATAGTTATTGCTCTGTTATAAATATTTCTTCATCTTCATCTTCATCATCATCATCATCATCATCATCATCATCATCATCATCATCACCACCACCACCTCTGAGCATTAGGCCTGTTACAGCTGTTATAAAACAGAATCCTTCCATTATATCAAAAGTCTTCCAAAACTTCTTTCTCCATTTGTCTTCAGCTTTAAGATCTTCTTTTCAAATCCTGTCAGAGCTCATCCTGTCAACATGTTCATTTCTGTTTCTTCTGTACTGTTCTATAAATTCTGTTATTTATGGAATTAGTAGTTCTCTCATAATTTGTCCTTTTTTATGGTCTGAAAAAGTGCATCCTGCAGTCCTCCTCATGAAATGCATTTCTTTCACTCTTAATCCTCCCCCCTCATGAGTTCTTATTACCCATGATTCACTGCAGTAAGATAATGGTGGTATAGCAAGTGTCTTACAAACTTGGATTATTGCATTCTGAAAATTATGTAATTATATTTACATTAAAACCATTTTCTCCTTCACTGATACATCATACGCCAAAGAATTTAAAACATTAATTTGTTCCAGAATTATAATATTAATGCATATCTTGGTCATAATTATTTCGATCCCTCTAAAAACAATAATTTTAGTTTGTTTACCATTTACCTTCACAGAAAATTCTACAACTATATTATTCAGACTGTATGAACGTATACTGAGCATTACAGATCTTTTCAGACTTGGCGGTAAAGGATCTGATCACCATTTCAGTATTATTTTGTTCATATATGATGAATTGTGATGACATGAAGAAAGCAGTCTTCTGGGATGTGGCACAGCATAGATATTGTGGTGACAGACTACAACTTTGCCACTTAATTTCTTACAAACCAGACTTCTGACTGTAGTTTTGTAAGTTTAATATATTAATTAGGCATTTATCTTCCATTAGAACTCCATATTTTCATTGGAGAGGCTCTTACACCTGAGGTACAGCAAAATAACTGCTGGATTACCACACCTTGGCTAGAAACTAATTGATGGAACTTATAACTGATTCAAGGTATTATAAAGAAAACCATGATGATGTCCAAGAAATGAATAAGGAAAATGATTGGAACCAAATACTGGCAACTTGGAATGTAGGAGTACACCATAAAAAAGATCAATAAGACGATATTTTGGCAAAGGGAAGTACAAGAACCACAGCCATGAAGGAACTAGGAAGAAGTCAAGAGGATGTAAAGAAAGAAATAAATATAACTGCTTCATCCATAAGCATATTGATTCTGAGTATTGTAACTTATACAACTGCTTTAGAGGGTCCAATATTTAATTCCCCCATGCTCAGCTTTTCCACAAAGAACTTTCAGTTCCTCAAAACACATACAAATATGAAAGAACTGACTCCTTTCAAGATATCCAGATCTTACTTAAACTATTGATAATTATTTAGCTAGTTGAGAAATTTCATGCTGTCATGGAATCCCACACTGAACATTACCCTGTGCCAGTTCAATCCAGTTCACACAAATATTGGGACAATACCTTTAGAAAAGTCTTTGCTGTTATCTTCATTATCAGCATCAATTCTTAATTCATCATCCTAACACTGTCACTGTCTCCACAAGCCTATGAGCAAAAGTGTCATTAACCTACACAAAAAAATTGTCACTAGACTCACTTATACATAAACTTTTAAACATTATATTGGCTTAATTTGAAATTACAATTCTGTAATTCATAAAATCAGTTGGGGTTACACAAGTACAACGTATTGAACCTAATCACCAGGGTGCGGATTTTGACGAGCTAAAAACATTTTAAAAGTGACCTGTAAAATGACCGAAAAAGTCCAGAAAAAACGACCTAAAAGTTAAAAAAAAACCCCTAAAATTTAACATGTCATGGAAAATCTACTAATTGTTTTAAAATTTATTTTTAATCTTTATTAACACTGTCAACTCAGTGTTACTCTTTTAAGTTCGTCCTCGTTTTTATATTGAAAATTAAGCAATATATGATTGAATTTGAAGCTAAATGTTTTAATACAATTTTTTCTACTGTGTTGGAATGCTTATCAAATGTACGTATATGGTATATATTCCAATATTTAAATGTAACCTCATTTAGAGTGCAACAGATGACAGTCAATATGCAGAGATTCTCGAAGGTGAGTGAATGCCTATTGTCTTGACAGCACATTCTTGTACTTGGAGAAACTGCTTTCCACATCTACAGACACAATGGGATTATTGAAGTGTACCAAATCACTAGCAGCAAGTTCTCCTTCAATACTGAAAGTGCTGAAGGACTCTCCTGTCAGAATTAAAAAAATGCTGCATAATGTTTCATAACCTGAGTTTTTATCTAGAATATTTTTCTTTTCTTTTTTTTGACGCCATTTTACCAATGTCCCCTGACACTTTCTCCAACTCACTGGCTATTTTTTTCTCGAGAGTGAGCGAATCTTCTAGCATTGCTCCTTTCTACTGTAAGCATTTGATTCCTTCCGTCTAGGAACTGAAATTTGCCTTTATGAAGGCCAGCTGTCCTTCCTTTTTGGTGCACCAGAACTCTTCCTGAGCAGCTTCAATTGCCCTCACGTCTTCTGTCTTCATTGAATATACAATGTTTTTCACTGCCTGAAAATGACAGCAATAGTAAATTGCAGCATCAATCCATGTTCCCCAGCTTGTGATAACAGGTTCCAGGAGCAGTGGAACACCAGGAGCCAATTGTATTTTACAAGCTGAAGCCTTGACGAAAATCTTTGTCCACAACACGAGAGCATTCACTTCAGGAAATCTTGATCTCACTTCCTCCATCACTCTATGCAGGTAGGTAAGTAATGTGCACCAATTTTGTATAAAACGACTTTACTGACTTGCCTGCTTTTAAAATATATGGGGCCACATCAGTTACAAAAAGCAAGATGACATCATGTCGACCTATCAAAGAGTTTATAAATTGTGGAATGAATAATGGATTTTAGTGCCTCACTCGTAAGCAAAAACACTTCACCTGGTCCATCAATTTCCAAGGTTCCAATGATGGCATTTGCCACATAGAGACCCTCTGTATTGCAGGTCTCATCAATAAAAACAAAAATCTTCCCATGCACTTTATTCCTAATCATTTCCACGATATTGTTGTAGCACTTGGAAAGGTAGTGGATCCATCAGGGATAGAATGACTACAATTCTCTTCCAAAAAATTTTCAGTTTTTCATTGTTCAGATCCCAAAATGGAATATTTGTGGACACCAGAACATCACACAGGTCTGTGAAAAAATCCAATGACTGATTTCTGCCTTCCAATGAACATTGTTGCAGTAACATTTGCACATATTTCTTTTTGTTTGAAATTTGCACTGCTCGCATATGCTTGCTGCGGCTAATATGTTGTTTTACCGTGAAACTTCTTTTCTGCCGCTAATTTTGTGTCACACATCTTACAGTATATAATGTTACTGTCAGTTGAAAATATATCATCTCCAAATTCAGCTACAATCTGCTTTAAATGACACGATTTAGATGGCTTTGCTTTAGGCATCATGGTAAAATGAATCACTCTAGTGCAACACAGAACTGAACTTTTCACACTGAGAACCTTTTTGTCTACTGTATCTTTGTCTGTATGGTCAAGGGCAAAAAACTGAAGACAGACAGAATTTTATTGAGCAACAATATGTCATAAAAAGCTAGGGATTCCAACTAGAAATATTTGTAACTAAGCAAATTCCTTTGCACAGAACTTGGAAAGGGCCACAATATGAGTGACCACTGTGATGTAATACAGGATTGACAGGAAACATACATTAACCCTTAAACCAGATATAGTCTTGATACCGAGAACACTGTTAAATAACCAACTTAAAAGAACACATCACGTGACTAGAAAATATGCTGGAACAACATGTCAAATTACATGAGAAACTGTTTGAAATTGCACACCCTGCTCCAAGGTGCATGCAGATGACAACAGATGTTAGAATGACCAAAAATTAAAGAAGCAATGGGGTCATGACCCAATATTTAAATGCAACAAAATAAAAAGAGTATTCATACAGATAACTTTATACTGCTCTGAATGGCACAGCAACACTTGTTAAAAACGCAAGAAAATTTCAATCTTTATTTGTCATATTATTTAAGCAATGCCTGAACCAGGAGTTTCTTAATAGCAATGTGGAAAGTTAAACTTGTCAGTAAAAATTAATATTTAATTTACATATAAAAGTATACAGTGGATCTTACTAAATCTATTTGCTCTACTTAATTACATTAATTTCTTAATCTACTATGGATGCTGGAAAAGTAACATTACCAGTGTGCTTAAGTACCATGCAATGAAGGTGGAGGTAACATTCCATGCATTCCAGACCTTGGACATTAATGGAGGTGAGAGGTCAGCTTTACAATCCGACTGACTCATCCCTGGAAAATGAGCCCCTGACATGTGTTAGACAGAAGGATGGTAGGCCCCATATGAACATCTGGTCATAGAGGCAAAGAGGAAGGTCCCTGCCCCTACTAGGACACATGGCCATCCAGCCCTTACCCAGCCATGTTACTGAGTTACTGTGTGTATCCATAAACACTGACAATTTCTTTTTCCAGTTTTATCAACGGTCATATGTACAATATGTCGATCAAATATTTCTTGACAAAATGGGCAAATATATACAATGAAGTTTTGATTTTGTGATCTTGAATTTTACACTTTTTTTTTTTTCAGTTTTACAGACTTGCCATCTGGTCTTGAGCAAACGTCCATAAGAACGATGTTACATTTCAACAGAATTCACATTTCCTCAAATGTTTTTCCTCACACTTGCACTTCATTTTCCAAGTCCTGAGAAGAAAAAGTTACCAAATTTTATGATTAAAATGTTCTATTTTGCCAGACTGAAAGTAATACCGATTCTGCCCTGCCCACATTCAAGATCTGTCCCAGTAAAACAGGGATAACTTTGCTTATGACCAGGGCCCAGATTTTGATGACATATCATCTTTTTTTCCTTGTATCTTATGCAATGCTCTTAAATATATAAATCTCAGATATGAGCTGCTGGTTACAGAAATGTATATTTTATAGGTAATTTTTTTGTTATTTTTTAACATTTTTATGTTTAAGGTCATTTTTTCATTTTGGGGGTAATTTTTTGGACTTTTAAGCGTATTTCTTGTCATTTCTGGCCATTTTAGGGAATTTTTCTTCATGTTTTCTGAAATGTGAATAACATGGAAGCGAAGTGTTCTTTCTTTTCTCCTTTAGGTCATTTTTCTGATTTTCTTGGTCATTTTTTTAATATTTTCAGGTCATCAAAATCTGGGCCCTGCATATTACATTTTTGGGTCATCTTTTAGGTCATTTTTCTGGATTTTTTCTGTCATTCTTTAAATATTTTCAGGTCATCAAAATCCAGGCCCTGCTTATGACAGTTCTTCAACCTCACATGAAAGAGATACAATTCAAGAAAATATACATAAATGATTGTGTCTTGAAAAAGTTAAATAGTTCCATCCAGTGTGACTGGTTAAGATTTTCTTATTTCAATTATTCATGCCCTTAACCAGTCACATTGGACGGAACTATTTAACTTTTTCATAATATTAGTGTGACAGACCAGACTGAAACAAATCAGATTCTGTCTTATTAAAGAAGTAACATGACATACACGTTATTGTACTTACATTTACATTGTTATTTTGTTTAATTATATATATTTTACATGGGTTGCTAAAGTTAGAGTATAAAGCAAACAAAATTTTTCTTTGTTACACCATTTTCATTTTCATTTCTATGACCCCAGTTTCCTTGAGTTGATGTTGATTTTAGGTGATCCTTTCAAAAGTGTATATCTGAACATCACTACAGTCCAAATATGCTAAGACTTGCATTAATGTGAACTCTTGGCACATTCTCTTGACCACATCAGGCAAATAAACTGCAATAAGTCTGTAGCACTTGGAATGTTTTCTGGATTTTCCATAGAACATATATTGATGGCTTGAAACACAAATATCTGAAGTCCATGTTATCAATTATGGGTTACCCTGTGCCCATGATTGTAAAATATGTAACCTCTGTTCTACAGAAATACTTCAAGTCCACAAATAAACCTGATGATGAGAGAAAGAATCTTTAAATCTTTTAAATGTCATAAAATAATATTATGTTGGTGCATTTTTAATTTCAATTTACTGAAATATCTGTGCTTTAAACCATCAATGTATAATTAACATCAGACCTGACTGTCCCAGTAACCAATTCCCATTAAGGCCACGCCATAGCTCAAGTGGTTAGTTGCAGGGGTTTCCCGGGTTCAATCCCGGGCCTGGTCAAGTGGTAATTTGTGGTGGACAAAGTGATGCTGGGGCAGGTTTTCTCCGAGTACTTCGGTTTCCCCTGCCAATCTTCATTCCACCAAATGCTACACAATCACCCTCACCTATCATCTGGGGCTGGTACAATAGGCCAGAAGCGGTCGCAGTACAAGGGACTTAGTCCCACCCCACTAGCAACAAAAAAAAAATAAAAAGAAAACCAATTCCCAGCAACATAATGTACACTGACTTTTAAACAACCATCAAATTTAAATGAAAGTAAAATTTAGGGAGCTTCAGTACCCAACAATGACCACTCTTTTGTTGCTGCCTAGTGGAATTTTACAGTACAAAGAAAGACAAACTACATTAAGTAATATTGTATGTAGTTTCAATTCAAAATGTGACATTTATGTATTCAAAACTGAGAAACCTCTCTGGGAGATACTATATTAAAGTATAAGATGAGGTCAAAATGCTATATTTTGGTCAGCCCATAAGCCAAAGATAAGATACTCACATCACGGAACATTTTCACTGCTTCCTTTAGCTTCCCCAGTTTTCTCGCACACATTGCCAACCTTCTTTTAATGTATATTAAAACATTTGTGTCTCTCCCTAAAAAGAACGTTCATAACATTGAAAACACATTTCAGTTTGACATGTTGTACCACTCTTTCACTATATCCTAAATGCAAGTCAGTCAATATGGTCTGAAATGGGCAACTGCAGCTTCAGCCCCAATAAATCAAGTCATCAATGTGTAAAGACAAGTTATCTTTTTAGAAATACAGTGGAACCTTGCTCAACGAGCATAATTCATTCCAGAATCTTACTCGTCATGCGAAACACTCGTTAAGCGAAACAATTTTTCCCATATAAATTAATGTAATATATGATAATGCGTTCCATGCTGAAAAAATACTCAAAAAAAATTACGTATAATGTGTATTCAAAGAAAATTATATATACATTATTAAGGAGCGTGAATCATCTTCATCTTTTCTTCTATGCGGAATGAACCAACCTGGAATGCAAATTCCATTTGCAGGGGAAAAGAAAATAATAATAAAAAATTAGTTTTTATTTATGATACATATCTAATTCTTTTTTACTAGAAAGCTGTCTAGAGACATTTGTTTTTGCTTACGCTTCAAAATTTTGTGAAAAGGCAACACAGCATTATCATTAAATAAATTTGTAGCGCACATAGCCACTGCCTTATTATGGTGATGCTTCTCAATGTATGATGCAACAGTTTCCCATGATTTCAGCATTTCTCTTATTGCACCAGAAGATTGTTGCTTTGCTGTTACCTCCTCCTCCTCCTCTGGCAAACTCTCCTCCACAACTTCTTGCTGTGAAACACAATGCAACTCCATAAGCTCTTCGGTGGTCAGCTCTTGGCTGTGCTCTTCCACAAGCTCATCGATATCATTGTTATCCATCTCCAGCCCCATGATCTTGGCCAAAGACACAATCTTGTTGACTACAGGGTCCACAGGTACTATCTCAAACCCCTCAAAGTCACATTCGACAACGCTCTCTGGCCAAAGCTTCTTCCAAGCAGAAGTGAGGGTTCTCTTGGCAACCCCTTCCCATGCCTTTTCAATGTGGAAGTGATATTTCCAAAACTCTCTGAGAGTGAGATTGGTCCCTTCAGTCACCTCAAAACAACGCTCAAAGAGTGCTTTAGTGTACAGCTTATTAAAGTTAGAAATAACCTGCTGGTCCATAGGCTGGAGCAAAGGAGTGGTGTTGTGAGGCACAAACTGGATCTTGATTAATTTAAATTCTTCAAGGTCACCTTGTAGGTCTGGAGGATGGGCAGCAGCGTTGTCCATAACAAGCTAGACATGGAGTGGCAGATTCATCTCAAGCAAATATTTTTTCACAGAAGGACCAAACACTTCATTGATCCAATCAGTAAAAAGGTCACGTGTCACCCAAGCCTTGTTGTTGGACCTCCACATCACACTTAGCCTGCTCTTCTGGACTTTACACTTCTTGAAGGCTCGTGTTTTTGAATGGTAAACAAGCAGTGGTTTAATTTTCAAATCACCGCTTGCAAAAATATCAGCGTGAGACGGTCTTTCATTGGCTTATGGCCAGGCAATGCATTATCTTCTGCTGTTATATAGGTTCGCTTCGGCATCTTTTTCCAGAAGAGACCCATCTCGTCACAATTAAAAACCTGCTGCAGCAAGTAACCCTCAGAATCTACGAGCTTCTTGAAGTCGCTGATGAAGTTCTCTGCTTCCTTTGTGTCGGAGCTTGCTGCTTCACCGTGCCTTACAATGCTGTGGATGCTGGCTCTTCTCTTAAACTTCTCGAACCACCCACAGCTTCCTTTAAATGCTTCTTCTTCGGCCGTTGATGATCCTGGCGTCTTCTTAACGAGGTCGGTGAAAATCACTTTCACCTCACAAATGATGTTCTTGTTATTAGTGTCCCCTTGCAATTGCTTTTCGTTTATCCATATGAGGCGCAACCTCTCAACATCGTCGAGAATACGTAACCATTGCATAGATATTCTTGTCACTCCCTTTGAAGCATCTATCTCCTTAATCTTGTCCTTGTTCTTGAGGATAGTGCAAATCGTTGATGTAGACCGATTGTATGTGTGTGCTAGATCAGCCACGCTCACACCTCCTTCTCGCTTTTCAATGATTTTACGTTTCATTTCTACGGTTATTTTTATTCTCTTATGGCTGTCTTTTTGCGGCTTTTTCTTCGGGGATATTTTTGCAAGGGTTATTAAACATTGCACAAATAATATGTCTGAACACAAGTTTGGAAAAATGTGTGATCACAAGCGACACTAAGATGCTAGCAGAACGAGTGATAAACACAGACTGATGTAGCGAGTGCACAATCTGGGACTTCCCCTCTCGTCACTCCTTATGCGAAATGTTGCTCGTTAAGCGAGTCATTTTTTACAATTTGTTTTGCTCATTATGCAAATTACTTGTTATGAGAGGTGCTCGTCAAGCGAGGTTCCACTGTACAGTAATGGAGGATCCACCTTCTACATACCATTCACTTTCATTTCCTGCCTTATATAAATTTACATAAATTAGAGATATGACAGAAAAGAGCATTTGTTAGACTAACACACAACAGAAGACACCATCAAACCTTTTGCTTGCCACTGTAAACCTACATTTATCTGGTTCTCTCTTAATGTTCTTGGTTCTTGTTCTACTAAACACAACTATCCAATTTGTATACACATGCCTTACCAACATTCTGCTTGTGTAAAAACTATATTAATTCATACATCCAACAAATACAGTATCCTCATGAATTTCACATTTCCTTCCTTCTGAGGAGTAAAGCCTTACCACATTACTGTCAGATACAAATTACTATACTTACTTGTGTACTATGCACCTTGCAGGACATGCATCCCAATATCCTGGATCAGATTTCAGTAAAAAGTGATGAAGAAGCTGGTACAAATATATAGTAAACAGTCCTTAGAGAAATAGTTACATTTATTTTCAAACTATCTACAATAAAGAAATAATATACAAATATAACAGTCACATACAATGAAAAAATAGTCCAAAATGTCCTACTACTTTTGTTTTAATATAGGATACTTCTCATCTTTCTATCAAAATATCAGTGTCTTCAACAATATGTTAATACTGGTCTTCATCTGCTGCCTTCTGTCATCAAGCGAGAGCCTTCAGCTACTAGGCAATTGGAACTGATACTCCTGCTGTCAAGTCAGTGCATGGAGATCTGGATTATTAGCATAACCGAAAACCCAATAGTGTATTTGCATTACAGTTATTTTTCTTCAATTTCATATTAACAAAACAATAAACAGTTACCACAAAGTGACCTATGCATTACGTGCCAGCAAGCCCCATTTGATCTGTATAATAGGCAGTTATTCACCCACTCCTGTTTTTTCCTGTGGCAAAATGGCATTTGAGAGTTACACACTGGAATAAATGTGTTCATGTATAATACACAACTGATGCTTATAGAGGAGATTTGGTATGCAAGTTTCAAGTTTGCTGTACTTAAAGAAGTGATAGGAATGCATACATAATTTGCTGAGTGGGGGGTGGAGTCCGACTGGGTCCACTCGGCACGGCTGCCACTGACTGGCCTATTGTACCTGCCCTGGGTGATTATGACGATGGAGAATTGGGTGGAATGAAGATTAGCGGGGGAAACTGAAGTACTCAGAGAAAACCTGCCCCAGCGCCACTCTGTCCACCACAAATCCCACTTGACCAGACCTGGGATCAAACACAGGCCGCCGCGGTGTGAAGCCAGCAACTAACTGCCTGAGCTATGGCGTGGCCAATGCATGCATAACAACAGGGAGTATTTCTGGCAATTGCTGTAATCTATTACATTTTACACATTACCTACTACCAGCAGTTTGTCACCCACAGTAAATGATCTTGCTCGGGTATCTCAGCACATGCATGATAATGTTAAGCTGTCAAAGTATGTCTGCTCCCTATAATGCATATGCTATTGTGGCAATCTCACCTGGCTGTCATGGTAACAACATAACTACACAAGTCAAATGTCTGTCTAGTATTCTAAGTAGCATACAACTGAAAAGAATGTGTGAAATATATGTCAAGTAGCATCACAATGAATCAATTATAAATATCTGAAAGTCAAGCTACCTGTTCACAAACAAAAATACTCTTGAAGAATGGCCACTCCATATTCTTGGATGCTAATTTCAAGAATATTGTGTGCAATACACGTACACGAGTAAATATGGTGTATACGAGAAAATTCAAATACTGTTATTCTACACATATCACTTTCAATCTACTCATCCCTTAAAACGTGCGGACTTTACACAACAAGAGCTACAATGTTTGTTCTAGTAATTGCAGTACATCTCTGGTATAGATGAACTTCCCTCAATAGTTTAACATTAAGACGTCACGAAGATGTTACATGAGGGAAGACTAGCTGACTTGGCTATGAGATGACAGAAATATAAGGTATTATTTACGAGTTCATGTACTTGTATTTTTCATGTTGGAACAGCATGTAAACATGAAGAGATAAGGGATAAGGGACAGGTACACTGATATTGAATGACACTTGAAACTCCCTTCAGAATAATGTCTTCTATAAAGCTTTAAGAAAGACGGAATAGCAACAAGGGGTATGTACATTGAGCCAACAATGCACAAAGTAACATGATGCCGTGAACTATGCTTACCATAGTTTGACAAAAATGTTATATTGTGACATAATGGCCAGAAGCCAAAACAGCAGAGCCAGTATAAAAGACTGTTGCTAGGTAACAGCTGATAAACACATTTCCACTGCAAAAAATGCACAAGCAACAACAGAAGAATAGCTGGAAATGTGTTTTTGATGTGGTCTGTGCCAAGGCTATACAATGGGACACGTTAGTGGCAGTTGTGGTCATAAGGCGCTCTAAGACAGTCACCAGTCAGTAAGAACGTGAGTACAGAAGCTGAAGAATCAACACTGTTAGGAACCGTTACCAGGCAACGACTGGTGAAGACACAGAAGACTGTGCATATGCTGCAGTACAGTTCAGTAAATCCGATTACCAATTCAATCCCCATGTCGAGTCATTAACACAAGATAATATTTTAAATAAGTTTCCAGAAGAAGGGGAGATCATTATATGAATTCACAGATATTCTACCTGCAAGATCTATACAAAATTCCACACTATTTCTGAGGAGGTTATATATGTCCCTGCATTTAACACATTGTTTCAAATCGGTTCATTTTCAAATTTAACTTTCTGAAGTGAAATTTTCTAGTGAGAACATGCCAACAGTTCCCTCTCCAAAAATTAAGGCATGTGTTGTACATAAATAAATATGATAAACTAGCGAGATACATGCAGTTAGAGCTCTTACGACACTCTGAACATACTCACTATGCAATGCTTCCATCACAGAGCCTTGATGCTGCATCTGCTGGGATTTTCTATAATTCATTTCAGCTGCTCTCAATGCCTGCTTGAGAATCTTCTCCACATCCAAAATAGTAATCGCCTCTTCTTCTGCCAGCAAGATATATGCTGGGGCACAATCAGGGTTCTTTTCAAGGGCATCATGTGCAGCTTTAATTCTTGCTACCGGGTTACGTTCACGCCATGCTGTCTGCATTACTGACAGAAGTACACATGTCAAACACCACACACACATATAGCAGACTCTCAATTATATACACACAGATTAATTGAGGAGCTGTTAGAACCATTTATTCATTATAGCTTCCAATAATGATTTAAATGTTAAACTTTACAATCATTTGCAGCAGACTGTACATCTTCACATCCTGTTGCAAACTTCTCTCATTATTTTATTGCTTTCTACACCAGCCTACCACTGAATGGAGGTTGGAAAGATATTTCTCTCGTTGTTTACCTTTAAATTCTGGACTGTTGAATGGTTGTAGGGTTAGCTGGATGGAGTTCATTTAAATTCTTGCTGCTTTTCAGTGTTTAAACGCCCGTTTCTATCAAACTTACAAATAATTTTAGGCATTTTATTATAAATTCTGTATCTATTACATTTTTTATGATAAAGAAATGGAAATAACTTTGTTTTATATGCAAATAACATAGTGTCACATATTATAACGCAAGATTTAGAAATATTTTGACAAAAAAGTTATACTCTTTTTTTTTGTGTGCATTCACTATGAAAGGGTTTCCCGCTTCTTCACAAAGTGGTTCTGCATTATAAAATCATTGCTGCTTGTAGCATTTGACATACTTCCACAGTCTCTGTTGTTATAACACATCTGGGTGCACTGAGAGTATATTTTATTTTTCTGCTTGTGAGGTTCACACCTTTGTTACACTCTTCAGATATTACACTCTACTGACTAGAGGAGAGAAAAGTGAAAATATGGGATTTCAGGAGAGACTGGAAAGGAAATTCTTTCTTTTGTACATCATTCCCAAGCCCTTCCATTGCAGCTGCAAGAGAATATTTTCCTTTCTATGGACACAAACAAATACTTCAACTGTAGCTAAGATACAGAGTGCAATAAGTTTTCTGCGAGTTCATAGTGAATGTGAATATCCCAGTTTCATTTCATCATACAATGGCAATGAAATGTTGTTTGGGAGATTATGAAATTGAAAGGCAGCTGAAGTGCATGACATGGGACTGTGCATTCTTGGGTGCCAAGGTTACAGTATAAAGCAACCCACTAAGTAACTAACTCCTTTAAGCTGAGTCCTTATGAAGCCACCAGTCACTCAGCTATTCAATAATTTCCCAATATTTTATGGATTCTGTCACTGGTCCCTATCCTAGCCAGATGAATCCAGTCCAAACCACCTGATCTTATTTCTCTAAGCACCACTTTAATATTATCCACCCACCTGTGCCTAGGTATTTCTAGTGGTCTCTTTCCTTCTCGCTTTCCCATAAAAATCCTGTATGCATTCATTCCTCTTCATTTTTGTGGGTCCTACATGCCTTGCATATCTCATCCTCTTTAGCTTAATCATTCTAATTAAATTTGGCAATGAATACAAGTTATGAAGCTCTTCACTGAGCAATCTTCTCCAGCCTTGTATTACTGCATGCCTCTTGGGCCCAAATATTCTCCGCTTAAAGTCAAGAGCAAGTATAAAACAGTCTACATTTTCTTTATATCATTATCATTTCTTTTTAATTTTACATTAATTTTGGAAGGACCCTTCAAAAATGCAAATCTGGGGTTCACTGCATTTCCTGATTTCGATTTCTGTTGTTTTTATTTATCCACATCAGTTCTCCCATGTACTACCACAGATAACTGAGAGTTCACTCTACATGAAAATGACACTGAATAGCATTCAAAAAGGCAAATTCCAACCAACATAATTCCTGTCAAAACACTTAAATATGAAGCCAACAAAGAAATATAACATGAGGTTATTGTGGGTACTGACAGTTCATTGTACACGTTTTCTGTAAGTTTTACAAAATTTGAAGTAGTGTTTCCTCCCACTATATTTCTTTCCATTTTCAGTTTAAAAGGCAATGTAAGATGACAACTTTAACTTCACTGCTATCCATACATTCCTTTAAAGTTAAAACTGCAAGAAACATTACAAAGATGTTACCTCTGCAACTGATCACCCACAATCCGTTATCAGTTTTGAAAACACAATGACAATGAAATTTCAGCCTATTATGGAAACTATATAGGGTACTGCATAATCTTAAACTTAGGAACTGCATAAAACAAGGTAGTCAGTCAAGCAAATGGAAAATTTCATAATTTCGCATGTTGTGTTTATGTTTCCCCTATTGCCATTTCAGTAGGCTTTACTGGTATTTCTACTTGCTCTTATTAAACTTTAGGGGCATGCAGTAGCATAGTTGGTTGATGCACTATGCTACAAGCCGGAAGGTCACGGGATTGAATCCCAATGAGGTCACCAGATTTTTTTCAATTTACCTAATCCTTCCAGCCGCACTATGGCCCTGGAGTCGACTCAGCTTCTAACAGAAATGAGTACCAGGAATATTCTTGGGAGTAAAGGACAACCAAAGCATAAGGCTGACAACCTTACCGCCATCTATGAGCGAACTGTCTAGAAAATGTGGGAACCTCAAAATTTCACAACCCTATGGGCCTCCACAGCCTGTTACAGGGATATATTTACTTTGCTTACTTTACATTTATCAATACATCAACCTACCTACCCAATATTTATTACCTGTTACCAAAATGACCAACTAATATGGGTAAAGGAGTGGAAAAGCAGGAGTAAGTGAAGAGAAGACCTAACACCTCAGAAATGATGCACAACATCCACATATGAGAATAAAGCAGAATGACAAAAGAGTGCAAGCAAATGCCTACATATCAGCATAACAAGAATTATAGTATTGGCCAAATAAGACCATAAAATGTGCATCTTGAATTACACAATTACCTCAATTAATAATATACTATATAGATTCTAATTGTCCTCAGCATCTAGAACTGAAGACATTTTGTTAACAAATCTGTAACTTTAAAGGAACAAATGCATGTCAAAACAGTTTACTAGACTTGACAAGGGAAATGAAAAATGTGATGAAGCTTAATGAAACAAGCTACAAAATATGTAGTGGAAATAAATCTGAAATATCATCCTGTTATAATTCTCATTCCATCAACTGTTCCACATTCATTGCTCATCCTATCACTGATATTAAACTCTTGAAACTAACAGCACACTTAAATAACCGACTTAAAGAAAAGTTATACAACATGAGTTTGATTTGTTTCATTCTGGTCCATCACAATAACAATTACAAATTATAAATCACTCTGTCCAATGTGACCTGTAAGTTTTTTACTACATAAAAAATTAACACCCTTACATATAAGAGAGACGATGGGAGGACGAACATGAGCCTGCACGGTTTACGAATTTTAATTATTGACAATCTAAAAAACTTTTAATTAGCATCAAGGAATTTTATACAATTTTTTAAAACTTACATTCCCAGGAAACTGCTGTGTTTGTGAAATGTTCTATCCTGTGTACTATGTAGTGTAACATATAAGTGTACGTACTTTACGTGTAAACAAATTATGTGATGGTGGTTTCCTATTTGTAGTGATGTTTGCCCTCTGAAGATGGCCCACAGAGACCGAAACATGTAAAGGTGTTAAGTTTTTATGTAGTAAAAAACTTACAGGTCACATTGGACGGAGTGATTTATAATTTGTTATACAACATGGTTTATGTTGCAGACAAAAGTAACAAACTTTTCTGCTTGAATAAATGTGATACTCACTCTCATATTCAGCTTTTCCACAGTCACCTTCACATGTGAAAAAGGTTTGATGATCCTGAGCAGATAAGTTCATGTCATAGTATGTTAGAGGTTCCTTATTAGTAGCCCAATAGAACCTCTGGTATTCTGCACCTCTGAAGAGATTTAAAGGATTCCGCCACACTTTGCATTCTGGAATTTCAACAACAAAGAAAGGGATTAATTCACACTCAAAGCAAAACTTTTCATGTTCATTCCTTTCATCACCTATGCAATGACACTGTGGTTAATGCAACGATAATATCACATTGATGGAGACATGCCATGGTGTTTAAAGAAGATAAATTCAGAAAAATAAAGCTCTGAACTTCCATCTGCCTAGAGAGAGTAAGGGAACTGATGTCTAAAGTGGCGTTCTCTCAATTTTGGGGAGAAATGCTAACTACATCACAATGAACTTCTTTTCTGGAACTATACTAGAGCCATCATGTAAGCAAACAGAGCACAATCATATAAGTCCTATGGAAATGGGAAACACAAGCCAGGCAGTGACTCCTGAAGAGTGACAGAATTTTTAAACTGACTTGACCCATGCATGGCTAAGTTCCAACAAACCACAAGGAACTGTGTTGAGAAATCCGATTCTCAAAGCTGCAAGGTTATTTGCCAAAACCAATTAGATCAGCCTCAGCATGATGTCTCAACACATTCAGAAAAAAGACTGTTGTGATAATTTATCCAACACAGATACAATGTAATATGTTACCCCATGCTGTCAGTGTTCACTAATCACAAAACACAAAACATTATAAAACATTATTAACAGCATCCATTGTGATTTACAAATGTTTTCTTTTTTATCTTTCATCCTGGACATGTTTCAGTTGGAGTGACCAGAGGATCCAACTTGTGAGAAGTGCTTACAAGAAGATGAATCACCCATACACATCTTATGTGATTGTGAGGCTATAGCTTATTTAAGATATCACCACCTGGGTCAATTCTTCATGGAACCAAGTGGCTTTTATGACATCCATGTAAACAAAGTCCTACATCTCATTTGAAGTGTAGGATTAATAAAGAGTTAATCCAAAGGGGAACCACAATAGACCACTGAAGGTCGCAGTACTAGAGCCAGTTTTATGGCTCACCCCTCATACTCATACTCAAACTCATCTTCAGAAGGACATATCATTACACGCAGAAACTGCTGTTAAATGTGACTGGTCATTATCAGTAATATTACACCAATATTACAATGTCATGAATACAAAATATTAGCCTTGAACAATTACAGTGATGTGCATGAATTTATTAAAATATTTATAAATTATTATAATAAGTCTATTTACTAGTACTGTTCGCTCAGGGCAGTGGCAGAAGAAATCTTAAAATATAAGTTAGATTTAGCAGAAGTACAGGNAGCCAGGCAGTGACTCCTGAAGAGTGACAGAATTTTTAAACTGACTTGACCCATGCATGGCTAAGTTCCAACAAACCACAAGGAACTGTGTTGAGAAATCCGATTCTCAAAGCTGCAAGGTTATTTGCCAAAACCAATTAGATCAGCCTCAGCATGATGTCTCAACACATTCAGAAAAAAGACTGTTGTGATAATTTATCCAACACAGATACAATGTAATATGTTACCCCATGCTGTCAGTGTTCACTAATCACAAAACACAAAACATTATAAAACATTATTAACAGCATCCATTGTGATTTACAAATGTTTTCTTTTTTATCTTTCATCCTGGACATGTTTCAGTTGGAGTGACCAGAGGATCCAACTTGTGAGAAGTGCTTACAAGAAGATGAATCACCCATACACATCTTATGTGATTGTGAGGCTATAGCTTATTTAAGATATCACCACCTGGGTCAATTCTTCATGGAACCAAGTGGCTTTTATGACATCCATGTAAACAAAGTCCTACATCTCATTTGAAGTGTAGGATTAATAAAGAGTTAATCCAAAGGGGAACCACAATAGACCACTGAAGGTCGCAGTACTAGAGCCAGTTTTATGGCTCACCCCTCATACTCATACTCAAACTCATCTTCAGAAGGACATATCATTACACGCAGAAACTGCTGTTAAATGTGACTGGTCATTATCAGTAATATTACACCAATATTACAATGTCATGAATACAAAATATTAGCCTTGAACAATTACAGTGATGTGCATGAATTTATTAAAATATTTATAAATTATTATAATAAGTCTATTTACTAGTACTGTTCGCTCAGGGCAGTGGCAGAAGAAATCTTAAAATATAAGTTAGATTTAGCAGAAGTACAGGAGGTCAAATGGGATGGAGGTGGCATCGCACGAGCAGGAGACTATACATTTTTCTATGGAAAGGTGAATGAAAATCATGAATTAGGTACAGGTTTTTTTGTGCATAAGAGAAAAAGAACAGTCTGAGGGTGTTGAGGAGAATATTTGGACAGAAGAGAGATGAAGTGACAGGAGGTTGGAGAAAACTGCATAACGAGGAGCTTCATAACTTGTACTGTTCACCAAGTATAATTAGAAACATCAAGTCAAGGATGATGAGGTGGGCAGGTCATGTAGCACGAATGGGGGAGACGTGGAATGAGTATAGGATATTGGTGGGAAAACCAGAAGGAAGGAGACCACAGGGAAGACCAAGGGATAGGTGGGTGGATGATATTAAAATGGATCTTAGAGAGATAGGATGGGATGGTATAGACTGGATAGATCTGGCTCAGGATAGGGACCAGTGGAGGGCTCTTGTGAACATGGTAATGAACCTTCGGGTTCCATAAAATGCTGGGAAATTCTTGAGTAGCTGCAGAATTGGCGGCTCCTCCAGAAGGGCTCAACTCCCTGAGTAAGTAAGTAAGTAACTAGTATTGTTTAAAAACTTTGTTAAAATCTAGAACCACTTTGGTTCGTGTCCTTTATATTGCTTTCTTTAAAGGAAGATGAGTGCCTACCATGTCGTGGTTCTCTCGTTTCCAGAATAGGACTCTATGGGTATTATGTAGTATTTTCACAATCTTCATCCTATTTAAACGTGAGTTTTTGTTACTTTATCCTACCTTTATTGTCGTCCAGTTGTGCAGGCCATACTATGTTGTGTATTTATACCCCTTGTGCCTCATGATGTTTGTGTGGGCGTAAACTGATGTTTTATTATAATGTCGAACATACTATTCTAGTTATCACTTTCCTTTGTAAGTTTTTGCTCTTCTGTCAGCTTATTAAGTTGATAAAAGTGACATATGTGGAAGTTTTCTTTCATATTCATGAGGTTCCCCTTTTTAGTATGCTCAACTATTTCCATGATTACTGTCACAGGTCCATACTGGTGACACTTATTTTGTATATGTTTGGCAAATGCCGTTTAGTCTTTGTTAAATCTTGTGTTTCTTCTATGTTCTTTATATCTTGTTGTTAGGTTTTTATCAGTTTGGCCAATGTATACTTTATGACAGCTTTGGCAGGTTATTTTGTATTTCCCACTTTGTTTGTATGGTTTGTTTCTAGCTTCTCATTTAATAATTTACCTATGGTGGAACTTGTTTTGAAGGCTATCTTTATATTGGTGTTTTTGAATAGTTTTGTGATTCAAACAACGGAATCACGATGTGGTAGACACTCATTTTCCCTTAAAGAATGCGGTATAAAGGACACGAACCAAACTGGTTCTAGATTTTAACAAAGTTTTTAAACCATACTAGCAAACAGACTAATTATAATAATTTATAAATATTTTAATAAATTCATGCACATCGCTATAATTTAACAAACGCTAATATTTTATATTCATGACATTGTAATGTTAGTGTCTATATGTACTGATAATAACCAATCACATTGTAATAGTGGTTTCCGCATGTAATGATATGTCCTTCTGAAGATGGTCACTCTGACTGAAACGTGTCAAAGAAGAAAGATAAAAAAAAAACATTTATCAATCACACTGGATGGCATTAATAATCCTTTATACTAGTAATTAGTACTTAGTAATACTAGTTGTCCGGCCGGTCATGGTAGCCGAGCGGTCTAAGGCAAGCACTGTCTTCACTCGCTCGGAAGCCGGGATCGTGGGTTCGAATCCCACTCAGAGCATGGATGTTTGTGTACATTTTTCTGTGTTTGTCTATTGGTAGAGGCCTTGCGACGAGCTCATCACTCGTCCAAGGAGTAATACCGTATGTGTAAGATCTAGAAAAACCAAAGTGAATGCAGTTCATGGAGGTAGGCCTAGGCCCACCGGGGCTGTAGTGCCAAGGAAAAAAAAAATACCAGTTGTCCAGCTGGTAGCCCAGTCACTATACAAACTGAAGATACACATGAATTTCCCGTAAACTACATTAAGAAGACAGATTCAAAGATACACAGCACATTCTGAAACAGAGGAATTCACTAACTTCCAAGGACTGTAGATCAATAATCTAAAGCCATAATGGCCATGAAATGTGTCCATTACAAGCATACTCCTCAGCTTTGATAACATACCAGGCCAATGTTCCCACACACATCCAAGCCAGTCCTCCATTAACTCTGGCATCATCCATGCATTTTTTGGAGCCTGAACTACTACATCTTTGCAAAAATTTTCTTTTGACACTGTCTTTCTGTTTAATATTACATATGGTTATTTATGGCCATTTGAGATTATTCACAGAATGACAGTAACATGTAACTTTGTGTAACCTTGGTCTTCGCTGTCACTTGTTTCTCCCCTCTCAAATTTATTGTATAATTATGAGATATATTGAAAAAATGCAGTTTTGTCAGCATTGTCCATTTGACTTAAAGCATATTTATTCCTTCAGCAGAGTCCAATAACAAAATGCTGAAATGCAATTGGTTGTTTCAAATTCTGTAGGAAGTTTCTAATTTTCATCCTTGGTCTTAACGATAAGCTTTCTCTCTTCATAATTTTTTCACACCATCCACAACTGGCCTTGAAAGGTATATTACCTTTCCTACCACATTCTTTTGCTTCTGACATTCAGGCTTCCCTAATTATGGGTAATCATTCATTTCATAAATCGTTGAAATACTCTAAAATGGAGGCATCAGTCTCAGGATTTCTCCCTTTCCTTGGTCCAGAAAAAGATCTTCTATATGTCAGACATGAAAACAATTTTGTTTTTATATTTAGGTCCTTCAGAAATGATTGACATTCCCTCCATAATTCTGGAAAAGC